TTTTTTTCCATTCTCATTCCAGAATTTATTTGCCTTTTATCCTGCCCAAAAGCTGAAGAACCCTATGCAGGAGAGTTTCCAGCTGTCGGCAAGACAGACTTTACCCTCAGTAACCTAGCTGCGTCCTTCAAGACCACAGGAGAGCAGCCACAGAAGAGCTCACATTGATTGTCTCCTTTTGTTGTTGTTTTATTCTTGTAGATATCTCCACAGGACCTTCTTGGTTAAATCAGGGACTACTTTTGAACTCTACCCAATCAGTTTCAAATTTAGACCTGACCACTAGTACTACCTTACCCCAGTCAAGGTATGTATTTTTTTTTCAAGGTGAGAAAAACAAACCAGAGACCTGACTCTGCCATGGAGAGCCAGGGCTGTGTGGCTGCCGCACTGGGGTTAGGTCGGGTTTCTAGCAGATCTTGCAAGTGGCACCTCCTTCCTATCTTTATTGTTGTGTTGTAAAAGAATGTCTGTGCTACATTAATGAGCCTGTGTGTCTTTAACTTATTTGCTAGTGTAAACCAAGGGCTGTGCTTGGATACTGAAGTGGCCTTAGCAGCTGGGCAGTTTCTCGCCCCAAACAGTCACCAGTCCAGCAGTGCGGCTTCTCACTGCTCTGAGTCCCGCGGCGAGACCCCCTGTTCATTCAACGATGAAGATGAGGAAGATGAGGAGGAGGATTCTTCCTCCCCAGAATAAAGACAGGAGAAAATTCACATTTTAATGTTTGATGCTCGTGTGTTTTTAGTGTGAGCTCTTGTTTTTAAATGATCGCTTCGGTCTTTGCCTTTGTTTGCATTGTGTGTTCAGTGAGAACTAGAGAAACACAGTAAGCAAATTACATGAAGGCTGAGATGACTGAAATGAAGGTTAACATAGTGTGAATGAAAACTGAGTAGCAGAGCAGTAGATCATAGCGCCAACAAAGCCTGCTTTCTGAGGAGATGGAGGAGTAATCCCTGAAGAATGGCAGCACGAATGAAGTTCATTTCTTTACAAGGAGGTGGGGGCTTCAAACTCCCCACACACATGATCATTTTAGACTTGAGAGTTCTATAAGGAACAGTCTGTGGTAATGTTTTTTTT